CTCTCCTTCATTTCCTCAGTGTTCTTACATAAGCAAAAACCCAGACATCCATTTCTCTCTCTTCACTCAGAAAATGGGTTAGACTCAGTCCTAGATAGAGTATGGAAAAGCATTTGGACTCCTCACTGAGGAATATGACACTTAAGGCATCACTAATTTGGGCTATGCAAATGCTTCACCATGTGACCTTATCTCACCATGCTCGTGGGGAAGAAATGGCAGATGAAAGCATATCACTGGATCACTATGGTCCTCCCCTGTTTCTGGCCACCTCATATCCACCTGATCCAATCCTCTCTCCTAATGAGGGATCCAGTCAATGAAGAGAAAGGTACTGGCAGGGTAAAGGAGTCCCTGCTCAAGCTCTCTATTTAGTGTCAGGGTAACCCATGCTTTCCACACCCAGGCATCCAAGTACCTAGAGCAACCCAGCAAAGAAGTGATTTCCTCAGACTCTAGTGATTAAGTGTAGCAGTATGCAGCAAGGCCAGCGCTATGAAAGGCCAGTCACATTTTCTAGGGAATCAGGGGAAATAAAGCATTGTTTACTGAGTCAGAGACTTAGGTACAGAATATAGAAGAGGAAGGATTAAATCTATGTGCACATGGGCAGGCAGTGTTCTGGCTCCTATCCCTCTTTCTGTCAGCCTCCTATGTGTGGACCTATAGCTATTCCCCCCAAATTCTCTGACAAGTTGGCTTTTGGTAGGCACCCTCTAAACTTGGTGCCCTGGGATAAGACCCCAGTTGCACCACCCTAGTATAGATATAGTATAGATACAACTCTGTATCTATTGGAACATACATTGCATGCATTGTGTATGTCATGCACATGTGTTGTTTCCTTCTCAAGATTGTTTTGAGAAGCCCAGAGATGGGAGGATGATATTGTGACAAAATGGGCAAACTAGCAGAACAGGAACCAAATATTTAGCTAAGTCAGTTAACTTGATGTTTATAGACTCAGGTGACAGTTAGAATTGAGCTCTGAGAGCAAGGAGTACACAGGGTAATTGATCTGCCAGCACCAGCAAAGCCTCCCAGGATGAACAAGAAGAAAGAAGAAAAAGGAACAAATATGCCTCACCCGGGGGAAGCAGAATTGAACACTCCCCCTGGTGCAGACCCCAGAGAGAAACAGCAGCATAAAAATGAATGAGGTGACAAGAAATCTCCTTCACCTGTACAGAAAAGTCTCTAGTTCACAAAGAGTATGATCAACCTGGGGCATGTGGAGAAATTGTCCTATTTGGGGAGCCCCCCCCCATACCAGTGAAAGTCCCTTCCCCAGTCCCAATTATCTGCATGTTCATGTGCCCTGTAAATATCTCTGTGGTCCTACTGGTACGACATGCCTGCATGTGACTACAGCTCACAAAGCACCTTCCCATTCACTACCTGATTATATAGACAGTATGGCATAATGATTAGAGAGCTAGCTGATCTTCGAGTCTGGAAGAGCTGGGTTCAAGTCTCACCTCTGGCACATACCCATTCCACTTGACTTCTCCATGCTCTAGGACAAAGGTATCAAACTCAAGCCAGCAAAACCATGAAGTGAGGCCTGAGCCAGATTAAAACAGAACTGGGAAACATCTAACTAAAAATACAAAAATACAATACAGCAATTTGTGGTTTCCTAAGTTAATATGTGGCCATTTCTATTTAAATTTGACACCTCTGAGTCCAGGAAACTCTTGGAGATTATAAATTTTAGACATAGTGCTGACCTGAATTGGTGGAAGTAGTTTCTTTATCTTGTAATTCCCTGCACCAGTGAGATCACAAATCCAATCATTCTCCCTGTCCTATCTTATTAGAGACTTAGCAGGCAAGGAAACTGAAAGTCAATTTAATTCGACAAATATTTGTTCAGTGTTGACTATGTGCCAGGCACTAGGGATAAATGCAAAGACAAAAACAATTTTTGGTGGGGTAACTAGATGGCACAGTGAATAAAATGCTGGGGCCTGAAGTCAGGAAGATTCATCTCCCTAGTTCCAATCTGGCCTCAGACACCAACTGCGTGACCCTGGGCAAGTCACTTAACCATGTTTGCCTCAGTTTCTTCATCTGTAAAATAAGCTGGAGAAGGAAATGGCAAACCACTCTAAGATCTTTGCCAAGAAAACCCCAAATGGGGTCAGGAAGAGTTGTACACGGCTGAAAAACAGCTGAACAACAAAAACAAAAATGAAATTGTAGCTACCCCTCAAGCAGCTTACATTCTATGGATAACACATTTCACTGAGATAATTATGATAATTAATGTTTCTGTAGCATCTCAAGGTTTACAAAACTTTTTTTCCACCTACAACTCTCTGAGGAAGATAGTCTAAGTATTATATAGTAACTCTGGGCCTAGAATTGCAGTACCAGTCTCACCAGGACAAGGTTCAATCTTAGAAATTCCTGAAGAAATTAGCATATGGCTCTTCTCTCCCACCATGGATTTCCCTTAGGGGCATCAGAATTTGGCTAAGATCAACTCAAAAAGGGAAAGAATGTTTGGCTCCCGTCAATCAATTAATTAACAAATTTTATCAAGCACCTACTGTGTGCCATCTCTGTGCTAGGAATTAGAGATACAGAAACCAAAGTGAAATCAGTTCCTGCCCTCAGGAAGCTTGCATTCTATCAGAAGGGACCATATACAGACATAAAAATACAGCCAGGTCTCAATTAGTTAAAACAATGTGAAGTGATCACATTATTGAAATTTATAACCACTCAAGTTTTGATTACATGTAAAATATGGTAATTGGTTCCAGCCCACTGGAATTACACGCAGTGTGAATTTCAATAATGTGACCACTTCATGGGATTCATTGTTTGCACTAGTAAAGACTTGGTTTTACATACAAAAGAAATACATAGTTATTTCAAGAGGGTGTTACTAGTAACTGCAGGAATCAGGAAAGACCTCATTAAGAGGTACTGATTGTGCTAAGTTTTGAAGGGTCTTAGAAATTATAAGAGGCAGAAGCAAGGAGGAAAAACAGTCTCCAGACAAGCCTGTATAAAGTCATGGAGAGAGTGTGTTTGAGGAACAAGAAGAGAGCTAATTTGGCTGGACCATAGAATGTATGAAGGGGAGTAATATGTAATGAGACTGGAAAGACAGGTTGGATTCAGGCTATGAAACCTCTTAAATGGCAAAAAGAGGAGTTTGTATTTGTTCCTAGGGGTAACCGAAAGCCACTAGAGTTTATTGAGCAAGGAAGTGACAGGGCAAGACTGGCACTTTAAGAATATCCACTTTAGCATTTCAGAAAATAAATTGGAGTAGGGAAAGACTTGAGGCAGGGAGACATTTCTGCAGTAATCCAGGAGAGCATCCAGATTAACAATACATTGCATCTAAGGTGTGATTAATTTAACTAGGCAGAAAATAAAAGAATGTATACTCAAGCCCATAAACAGTCAAGATAACATTGGTCCTCTAGTGGTTGCACCATCATCAGGGACCTATAGAGTCCAAATAAAGTACCAGTAAAGGGGCAGGTCAAGGTTGCTACCCCTCTGGACCTCAGTTTCTTCTCCCATGGGAAGCTAGGCCTCTTTCCAGGGAACTAGGTCTACCTTGACTCTATATCTCTGCTCCTAGTGTCTCTCTCTCTCTCTCTCTCTCTCTCTCTCTCTCTCTCTCTCTCTCTCTCTCTCTCTCTGTCTTTCTGTCTCTCCATCTCTTTCTGTCTCTCTCTCTCTCTCTCCCTTTCTCTCTCTCTCTCTCCCCCTTCCTCTCTCTCTCTCCTACTTTTCTTTCCCCTGTATTTCTTTCCTTTTGTTCTAAAGCATCTTCTCAAGGTCCAGTTCTACTGTGTTGGGGCCAGGGTACAAATTTAGATCTCCCAACTCCAAATCTAAGGGTTCTTTAGGACTACTTGGGATACCTAGTGGAAAAGTCCATCCTGATAAAATCTCATGCCTGAAGTAAAGCAAGACTGATTTCAGTGATTTATTGTGAAGAAGGGAAACAATTACATTGCCAAGGACATATTCATGAGAGAGGGGACCCTATCCTCCACTCAAAATGTCCCAAAGTGAATTCATCTTCTCCCTCAAAGCTGCCTTTTCTTCATATGTCCTTATTTCTCGTGAAGGCACCATTAATCTCCTAGTTACCCAGATTTGCGATCTCAGAGTACTCATTTTCCATAAATCCTGTCAATTTGACTTCCATAGTATCTTTCATTCAAGCCTTCACCAAACATTGCCTAGACTATTATATCCCTACCTCTAGTTTCTGCCTCTCTAAATCCTCCCAACGTTGCCCATGTAATCTTCCTAAAGCATGGGTCTGCCCATGTCATTCTCCTGCTCAATCATCTTCATTGCTCCCTATCAATTCTAAGCTAAAATTCCAGCTTCTTAGCCTGACTTTTGCCTCTAATCTATCTTTTCCAGCTTTATTTTACCTTACTCCCCATCATACACTATTCTGTGAACAGATTTTTTCCCCTAGAATTTTAATGTCTTCATCTTTAAAAAAAGATTCTTCAATTTGTTTATTCTAAACTTAACAAACACCAAATAAAATGAGCATTTCCACATACAAAATAGGGCTGACAATGAATAGCAACATGAAACAGCAAATCTTTTTCATTAGGCCTTGCTTTGATTGATTGATTGATTGATTTACACTTACTGGCTGTGTGACCTTGGGCAAATCATTTAACCTTGTTTGCTTCAGTTTCCTCATCTGTCAAATGAGCTGGAGAAGGAAATGTCAAACCACTCCAGTATCTTTGCCAAGAAAACCCCAAAAGAGTCACAAAGAGTCAGATATGACTGAAACAACTGAATAACAAAAATTTAATACATTACTTCCAAAGTGGCTCTGCTAGTCTGAATTTCCTTCAAAACTTCCTCCTGTTAGCTTCTGTGCCTTCATTTTAAAAAATGTTTCAGTGACTCTCCTTTCTTTCTTTCATTCTTCCTTCCTTCTTTCTTTGTTTCCTTCTTTCCTTCCTTCCTTCTTTCTTTCTTTCATTCTTCCTTCTTTCTTTGCTTCCTTCCTTCCTTTTTCTTCCTTCCTTCCTTTCTTCTTTTGCAATTCCCCCAGGGTTCACTGGTACCCTTTATGGTGTTTGGGGTGTTTGGTGTCTCTGCCATTGCCTCCAACCTCCATCAATGGTGTTCCATTTAAGCATTTAACAGTTAGGTTAGTTTTTACAAATGAATATTTACTTCAAAGGTATCATAACAAATATATGAACACAATCTGTCTCTCCACATCACCTCAGGCTCTGTGGAAGAAAAACAAATCAGCTTAGCTCAGTTTTTACATAGCACAGTCCAACCCAGTTCCAAGTCCAGAGCCTCCCTTGGGCTGGAGTCCCACACACCCTGGCTTCCCTGCTTGTTGGGTTGCAACATCTGACCTGGAATCCCACTTCCACAGACACCATGGCTCAAGTCTGGGTCCAAATACTCCAGTGCCTGTGAGTAGAACAGAAAAAGACAAAAACAGACTCCAAACTCTCAAGCACCTTTCTTTGGGCTACAAGGCTTAACTGGAGGAGGGGAAGGTAGTCCTCACCAGCTGAGAGATAGAGAGGCTGTCCCAGTCTGGTGGTTTTTTAAGATGTCATCTGTCCTACTGATAGAGCCATTTGAAAGAGGCTCTTCTCACCAATGTAATAGGGGATTGCGGAATAGCTTCTCCTAGGAGCTGGTCCATCTCCTCTCTTGTGTGGGTGCTTCCATGTTAGGTGATTTGTGCATGCACAAAGTGCAGTCCTGTTACACAAGGAAATTAAGGAAGAATATTGTTGGGGTAAGATGTGGGAGGGGGAGGAGATGTCATCAATCTCAAGTTTCTGCTTGAGCTGCACATTATCCATGTCTAAAAATGTATTTCTTATTTTGACCTTTGAAGCTATCCCCAGAGAGAGGAGGGTAGCATCTTTCACCATTGGGCTTCCAGAATCATGATTGGTCATTCCACTGATCTAAGTATTGAAGTTTTTCAAAGTTGTTTGTATTTATAATGGTGTTGTAATAAACAGTTCTAGTGTGCTCACTTTACTCTGTGTCATATCTTAAGTCACAAGTCTTCCCAGGTTTCTCTAAAACCATCACTTTCTTTCTTTCTTCCTTTTTCTGCTTTCTATTTCATTTTTTGAATAATATTTTATTTTCCCCCAATTATATGTAAAAACAATTTTAACACATTTTTAAATTTTGAGTTCCAAAATCTCTTCCTCCTTCCCTCCTGTACCCTCCCTGAGACTGTAAGCAATTTGGTAGAGGTTATACATGCGCAATCATACAAAACATATTTTTGTACTAGTCATGTTGTGAAAAGAAAAAAAAACACAGACTAAGGTGGAGCCAAGATGGCAGAGTAAAAGCAGTGACTCCTTGAGCTCTCCCCCAAACTCCTCCAAATACCTGTAAAAAATGACTCTAAACAAATTCTAGAGCAGCAGAACCCACAAAAAGATGGAGTGAAACAAATTTCCAGCCTAAGACAACCTGGATGGTTGATAGGAAAGGTCTGTTGTGCCAGGCTGGGAGAGGAGAACAGTCCAGTGTGGGATGCACAGGCAAAGACCAGGCCTCAGCAAACCTAGAGCAGGCCTCAGAAGACTGAATCCCAGGCAGCTGTGGCAGTTTCCAGACTTCTCAACCCACGAACACCAAAGACAACCTAGAAGGTCAGTGGGAAAGGTCTGCTGAACCTTCGTGAGACAGAAGCACAATCCAGGCCTAGCACTCCCCAGGGCAGTGGCCACAGCAGTAGCAGCTGCTTCTGGAGCTCTCAGCTCACAGACAGTGGAGGGATCGAGTGGCTGATCAGAGGATCTCTTTGCTGGCACTGAGGCAGGATCGTCTTGCTTTGCCTGTACTTGTATCTGAGTTGCAGTCCTTGGTAGTGGTCCTGGGGTGAGGAGGAGCGCTGGCATAGTGGAGTTTGTGGCAGTGTCATATCTTAAGGGAATCCTCCTCACAGTTTCAAGACAGAAAAGAGTGCTTGTGGTCACTCACAGACCACAGCACAGGCCAGGAAAGGAGTAAATACCTCTCCTTTGATCATACCATCTTGGAAGATCTGAAAATTTACAGGTCCCTAGAAGTATCTCTGAAAACAGCTGCACAAAACCTCCAAAGCTTGGGCAGTACATTCTCCACACTGGAAGCAGGCCCCTACCTTAACAAAGAGTTTAAAACTCAAGTAATTGGCTGGGAACATGGGCAAACAGTGGGAAAAACTCAGACTATAGAATCTTACTTTGGTGACAAAGAAGATCAAAACATACAACCAGAAGAAGACAATAAAGTCAAAGCTCCTACATCCAAAGCTTACCAAGAAAAACATGAATTGGTCTCAGACCATGGAAGACCTCTAAAAGGATTTTGAAAAGCAAGTAAAAGAAGTAGAGGGAAAATTAGGAAGAGAAATGAGAGGGATGCAAGAAAATCATGAGAAACTAGTCAACAGCTTGCTAAAGGAGACCCAAAAAATACTGAAGAAAATAACACCTTAAAAGATAGACTAACCCAAATAGCAAAAGAGGTCCAAAAAGTCAATGAGGAGAAGAATGCCTTAAAAAGCAAAATTAGCCAAATAAAAAAGGAAGTCCAAAAGGTCAGTGAAGAAAATAATTTCTTAAAAATTAGAATGGAGCAAATGGAAGCTAATGACTCTATGAGAAATCAAGAAATTATAAAATGAAACCAAAAGAATGAAAAAAAATAGAAGACAATGTGAAATATCTCATTGGAAAAACAACTGACCTGGAAAATAGATCAGGAGAGATTGTTAAAAAATTATTGGACTACCTGGAAGCCATGATCAAAAAAAGAGCCTAGACATCATCTTTTAAGAAACTATCAAGGAAAACTGCTCTGATATTCTAGAACCAGAAAGTAAAATAGAAATTGAAAGAATCCACTGATCATCCCCTGAAAGAGATCCTAAAAGGAAAACTCCTAGGAAAATTACAGCCAAATTCCAGAGTTCCCAGGTCAAGAAGAAAATATTGCAAGCAACCAGAAACAATTCCAGTACTGTGGAAACACAATCAGGATAACACAAGATTTAGCAGCTTCTACATTACGAGATCAGAGGGCTTGGAATATGATATTCTGGAGGTCAAAGGAGCTAGGACTAAAACCAAGAATCACCTACCCAGTTAAATTAAGTATAATCCTTTTTTGGGGGGGGAGGGAAATAGACATTCAATTAAATAGGACTTTCAAGCATTCTTAATGAAAAGATCAGAACTGAATAGAAAATTTGACTTTCAAATATAAGACTCAAGAGAAGCATGAAAAGGTAAACAGGAAAGAGAAATCATAAGGAACTTATTAAAGTTGAACTGTTTACATTCCTACATGGAAAGATGATATTTGTAACTCATGAGACCTTTCTCAGTATTAGGATAGTTGGAGGGAATATATATGTACACACACACACACACACACATATACATATGTATGTATGTATATAGACAGACAGAGGGTGCAGGATGAGTTGAATATGAAGGGATGATACCTAAAAAATAAAATTAAGGGGTGAGAGAGGATTGTACTGAGAGAAAGAGAAAGGAAGAGGTAGAAGGAAAGGTAGAGGGTATATTGTCTCATATAAAAGAGGCAAGAAAAAGCTTTTACCTTGGAGGGGAAGAGGAGGGAGGTAAAAGGGAATGAGTGAATCTTACTCTTGTCAGATTTGGCTTAAGGAGGAAATAACATAAACACTCAATTGAGTATCAAAATCAATCTTACCCTACAGTAAAATATAGGGTAAGGGGACCAGAGAGAGGAGGGTGATAGAAGGGAGGGCAGATTGGGGGAGGGGGCAATCAGAAGCAACCATTTTTGAGGAGGGACAGGGTCAAAGGAGAAAATAGAAAAAATGGGAGGGTGGGATAGGATAGAAGGAAATATAGTTAGTTTTTCACAACATGACTATCATGGAAGTGTTTTGCATGACTGCACATGTATAACCTGTATCGAATTGCTTGCCTTCTCAATAAGGGTGGGTGGGGAGGGAGGAAGGGAAAGAATATGGAACTCAGAGTTTTTAAAATGAATGTTAAAAATAATTTTTACGTGCAACTGGGAAATAAGATATACAAGCAAAGGGTATAGAAATCTATCCTGCCCTACAAGAAATAGGAAGTAAAAGAGGATAGGATGGGGGGGGTGATAGAAGGGGAGCAGATTAGGAGAAGGGGTATTTAGAATGCATGCCATTTTGGGGTGGGGAGGGGAAGATGGGGAGAAAATTTGGAACTCAAAATTTTGTGGAAGTGAATGTTGAAAACTAAAAATTAATTAATTTTTAAAAACCCACAGACTAAAAAAGAAAACACACAAAAAATAAAGTGAAAAAAATATGATTCAATCCACCTTCAGACTCCATCAGTTCCTTCTCTAAAGGTGATAGCATTTTTCCTGAAATTGTCTTGGATCATTGTATTGCTGAAAATAATTAAGTCATTCATAGTTGGTCATTGTGCAATATTGCTGTTACTGTGTACAGTGTTCCCTGGTTCTGCTCACATCATTCTGCATCAGTTTATGTAAGTTTTTCCTGATTTGAAACCATCACTTTCAACAATTCTTACAGTGCAATACTATTCTATTATATCATATACTATAATTTGTTCAACCTTTCCCCATTTGATGGGTACTCCTTTAGTTTCCAGTTATTTTCTTAACCTACCCCCCCACACACCTTGGCAGTCTTCTTCTGACTTATATCCTCATATACTCTGTGATCCAGGGACACTGGCTGCTGCCTCTCCTGACCTCAGACATTTTCTCTGGCTGCCCTTCTTCCCTATAATGCTCTCCCTCACCTCTACCTCCTAGTTTCCTTCAAGTCCCAGCTAAAATCCTACCTTTCTCAAAAAGCTTTTCTTGGGGCAGCTAGGTGGCACAGTGGATAGAGCACTGGCCCTGAAGTCAGGAAGACCTGAGTTCAAATCCAGCCTCAGACTAAACACTTGACACTTACTAGCTGTGTGATCCTGGGCAAGTCATTTAATCACAATTGCCTTAAAAAAAATTTAAAAAGCTTTTCTTACCCCATGTCACCCCAAATAGTGCCTTGTCTCTGTTGACTACCTATAATTTATCTTGTACAGAGCTTTTTTGTACATAACTGTTCGCATATTTTCTCCTTTAGACCATGAGCTTCTTTAGGGAAGGGATTGTCTTTTGCCTTTCTTTGAGTCCCAGTTACTTAACACAATGCCTAGCACATAGTAGGAGTTTATAAATAAATGTTTATTAACTGACACCAAAAAGAGGTGCTATAAATATTTTTGTACATATGACTCTATTCCTTCTTTCTCTCATCTCTTGAGGGTATTATTGGGTTAAAAGTTATGAAGAGCTTAGTGGGACTATTTAGAGGTACAATTCCAAATTGTCTTCCAGAATGACAGGATCAATTAACAGCTTCACCAATAATGCATTGGTGTGCCTGTCTAGGGATAATAATCTCTCTTGCAGAGTTGTGTAGAAAGTACTTTGTAAACCTTAGAGTGCTATATAAATATGACTTGTTATTTTTGTTATTCCAGGCAAATCCTCAAACTCTACATTCACCCCCAACCTCTATGTATGTATTCACACAGGCTATCACTTGTGCCTGAAATGCACTGCTTCCTCACCTCTGCCTTTCAGAATCTTTATCTTCCTTCAAGGCTCAGCTCAGGGCTTCAGCTCCATGAAATCCCTCTTGATCACCTCCCCAGTTGTTAATGTTCTCTTACTCTTCAAATTTTCTTCAAGTACTTTGTCTGATCTGTCCCATGCCCCTTCTATGCCCTACCTATGTATACATTATATTGAATAAATTGATCAATAAGCATTTATTAAGCACCTACTATGTGCCAGGCATTGTGCTAGGTGCTAAGGATACCAAGAGAAAAAATGAAGTATTCTCTGCTCTCAAGGAGCTTACAGAGTACAAGCTCCTTGAGGGCAAAAATTTATTATTGTTGTCTTTGCATCCCCAGTATCTAGTTCATATTAGTCACTTGATAAATGTTTATTGAATCAATCAGACCCTAAGCTTTCAAATGTTAGCCGTAGAAGTGATAGCTGAGACAGGGAGCTTGACCTACAGGGTATACACTTGGTTTTGTATTGGGGAGTATTTTCCACTTGAATTGATGACCAGCATCTCAATCCCCTGGGAAGGCAAGAACTCCAGGTAGTCCAGCAACACCACAAGCCAGTCCTTGCCTGTTACAGTTAGAGGCCTCACTAGGAGGATTCTGAGAAAGCTTTCTGGGGAAACTTCAGCTTGGGGTGAGAAGAGGTTTAGGGGATGGCCATGGGGAGAAGAGAGACTGAGGTGAAGCAAATGTGAAGAAAGACAATTTTACAGGTTTACAAAGGCCATTGGCCAGGAGTAATTCCTTGGACCTCAAAGAGCAGCTCCCCTGCGGGGCCTCTGTGGAGTTAAGCTGCCTTCAGCAGATTACAGCCCTGCCAGCCAAGCTTTATAAATTTTGCATCATCTTGGCTATGAATAGCTTCCTCGACAGAGAGACAGACAGTTCAAAGCCTTCCTCACTGAGGAGAAGGGCCTTTGTGGGAGAGGGGTGAGAAGGGAGGAGGAGGATGGGGAGGCAGAACAGAGAGACTCACTCCCAGTTCCTCTGTCAAATAGGGTCTTCTTATTCAGGAAGCTCTATAAAGAGGAAGAAGAAACTGGGGGTCAGAAATCAGAAGGTCCTCCACCTGCCAAAAGGTTTCCTCCCTCCATACTTCTACCTAGAAATCCTGAGGTCATCAGCCCCTCCCCCCATGCTACTTTCCACTGTTAGGGTCATGGAATCACAGAGTGGAAAGGGAATTAAAGGTCATCTAGACCAATCTCCCTTCTACATTGTTGATAAATGGTCATCCAAACTCTGTTTGAGCCCTTCCAGAAATGTGGAGCTCACTGCGTTTCTGTTTCATTGCTGGACAGGAGCTTTGCTTGATGCTTAACTAGATCCAGGATTTCCTCAGGGTGGGTGTTTCCTTTGCTGATGTATGTTGCAACCCTTCTGTCTTCTCATTCCCAGTGATTACTGTCCTTTATTGAGGAACTATCCAAGGTTCTGCTTCTTAGTTGATAATATCTGGGTGGCACCTATGTACTGCCGCAGCTAGGTGGCGCCATAGTGCACAGAGCACTGGGCCTGGAGTCAGGAATCCTCATCTTCCTGAGTTCACATCTGGCCTCAGACACTTAACAGCTGTGGACAAGTCACTTTAATCTCTATTTTTCTCAGTTTCCTCATCTGTAAAATGAGCTGAAGAAGAAAATGGCAAACCGCTCCAGTATCTTTGCCAAGAAAATCCCAAATAGGGTCCTCAAGATTCAGGCACAACTGAACACCAATACACCTGTATAGTGCTCCGGCTATCCACCTACTGGCTCTCATTCTCCCAATATGACTGACCCATCTCCTTTGCCTGTCGTACATACACTTAATAATGCCATTTATACTGCTTATAGAATCACAGAGTTAATGCTAGGAAGGGACCCCAGAGATCACCTACTTCAACCCCTTTTGTAGTCAGTGAGTCTCAAGAAAGCTAAGTGACTTGCCCAAGTTTAAATAGATAGTAAGCATCAGAGGGAGGATTTGAACCCAGGTCCTCTGATTCCAAAGCCAATGCTCTTTCCATTGTATAACATAGGACATGTGAGCCATACTTAACAACACGCTATAGCCTACTTAAGCCTACCATGTATTCTATTGGCTTTTGGGTTATTTTTAGGTGGAAAATTAGATAGAGTGCTAGACTTGGAGTCAGGAAGATGAGTTCAAATTTTACTTTGGATTCTTACTAACTAGTTACATGATGCTACAGAAATCAGTTAACCTTTCTCAGCCTTAGTTTCTTTATCTTTACAATAAGGATAAGGGCACCTCCCTCAGAAGGCTCCTATGGGGCTCAGTGAGATAATATATGCAAAGTGCTTTGTAAATATTAAGGTGCTATGTACATGTTTGCTATTATTTTTATTTGTAAATTCTTCCTTATATTGAGAGACAGAATGTTATAGTGGAAAGAAAGCTGGCTTTGGAGCTGGGAAGACCCAGGTTCAAGTCCCACTTCTGACACATTCTGGCTAGGTGATCCTGGGGAGATCACTTAATCTCCCGTTTCCCCCAAGGCAACTGTAAGACTAAATTATGAGAACAGTTGTCATTCTGCATTGGGAGAGGGAGTTATCTCACTGGTAATTCCCTAAATCTATGAAATTATGGATTTAGATCCTTCCTTTCTTATCCCTGAACTTACCCACTGGAAAAAAAGTACCCAATACTTTCTCCCTGTAGTTTCTATTGCTGAAGGCAGCTAGGTGGTGAAAAGTACAACGCTGGGCCTAGAGTCAAAAAGACCTAAATTCAAATCTGGCCTTAGACACTTACTAGCTGTGTGACCCCAGGAAAATCATTTAACCACTGTCTGTCTTAGTTTCCATCTGTAAAATGGGAATGATAATAATAGCACCTCCTTCACGGGATTGTTGCATGATCAAATGAAATAATATATTTAAAGTACTTAGCTCAGTGTTTGGCACATTGTAGAGGCTCAATACATGCTTATCCCTTTCCTTCCTGCTAGACAAAGGGAAACACAAGAAGGCTATTGTATGTAGTTAAAAGAAGTTTTAGTCACATTCTGTTTGGGCCCAAAGGGCAGGGCTAGGAATGGCAAATGGATATTGTAAGAAAACGTATTTTTCTTTATTTTGTTTTGATTTGATTTTCAGTTGCAAATTCACGCCCTTTCTCTACTCCCTCCGTCACTCCTTGAGAAGGCAAGAAATATGATACCCATTTAACATATGAAGTTGTACAAAATATAGTTATGCATTAGCCATGTCAAGAAAGCAGATTTTGACTCCATTGAAGGAAAACCTTGTCTTAAAGTGTAATGGGCAGCTTGAGAAGTGGCAGGTTTCTTATCCTGACTGCAAGTCTTCAAATGGAACCTGGAAGACCACTTGTCAGTGATACTGTGGAGGGGATTTCTGTTCAGGTAGGTACTGGACTAGAGGACCTTGAACTGGGTTCAAGATTCTACCATGCTCTTGCTGCTTTAGTCACTCATGTTACCCTGAGCATAGTCATTTGATTCACTTAAACTTTCTGGGCCTCAGTTTCCTCATCTGTAAAATAAAAGAATGGGAATGGATGGTCCATAAAGCCCCATTCTGAATCTACATGATCCCTTTGAAGTCACAGGGTCTTTTTTTAAAAAGGGGGGGGCAGCTGGGTGGCGCAGTGATACTTACTAGCTGTGTGACCCTAGGCAAGTCACTTAACCGCATTGCCTCAAAAAAAAAAGAGGGGGGGAGGCAATCAAGGTTAAGTGACTTGCCCAGGATCACACAGCTAATAAGTATCCGAGGCCGGATTTGAATTGAGGTCCTCCTGACTCCAGAGCTGGTGCTCTATCCACTGAGCCACCTAGCTGCTCAGTCACAATATCTTCTTGCTAGACATAGTTCTTCAGATATCAGAAAACAATGTCAATGACATCCCCCTATCACATACCTCCAGTGTTGCCTTGGCTAACTATCAACAACTCTTTGACGTGATCTGGTTTCCAGAAGCTTCATGATTATCATTAACCTAATCTCGATATAATCACAGGATTAGAGAGCTACCACAGAAAGGGACCTCAGAGGCCATGTAATTGAACCCCTTCAATTTACAGATGAGGAAACTGAGGCCCAGAGAGGTTAAATAACTTGCCTATGGTCATACAGATAGTAAGTATCAGAAGTAGGATTTGAACACAGCTCCTATTAACTTCAAATCTAGCACTCTTTCAAATATATCATTAACACTTCTTGTCTACCCAAGAACTGACCACCAATGAGCTCTGCCTAGCATGAAAGATAGCATAACTCTCTTTTTTCCTTCATGCAGACACTGCTTTTTCACTCGTTCAATCAAAGATCCCATCACCTTTTTTTAAACCTGTAGGGCTATACCCACCACAGTTGATGGAAGTGGGCTCAAATTAGATGACATGTGGCCAAGATCTGGGCCCGAGGGTGGGGGTTATGGATGAAGCAGACATTTCCAAATCTCCAAGATAGAGGGACACCTGGATGGAAGCCTCAGCAAAGAAGGTAGAAGTAGGTCTTCAGAATGGCACACAGGTGCTGGTGAGCTCATCCCCAGCCCTAGAACTTGGGGGAAGAAGAAGAGAAAATCACATTAATCAGTACACCAGAAAAAGGGCAGGGCCCTCATAGGAAATGCACCCAATTTTCTAAAAAAGTGTGGACCTGGTCACAGCCTAAGGGGTTCTCACATGTTTGCTCTGGAACCTCCAGGAGGGGATTTGTGACATAATAATCATGATGATAGGAGCAGCTGGGTGGTACAGTGGATAGAGGGCTATGGAGACAGGAAGACCTGAGTTCAAATTTAGCCTCAGACACTTAGATGTATGCCCCTAGGCAAATCACTTAACACCTATCTACCTCAGTTTCCTCATCTATAAAATGGGGATAATAATAATACCTACCTCCTATGGTTGTTGTGAGGCTCAAATTATTTATTTGTAAAATGCTTTGCAAACCTTAAAGTACTATATAAATGCTATCTATTATTGTTATTATTATTTCTTCTCCACAGTCCTGTGAACTAGATGATGCCATTGTCATTATGCTCTTTTTACAGATGAGGAAACAGAGCTTCAGAGTATAAGAATAAATATATGAGGCAGCTAGGTGGCTCAGTGAATAAAGCACTGCATTCAAGAGGATCTGAATTCAAATCCAGCCTCAAACACTTACTAGTTGTGTGACCCTGGGCAAGTCACTTAATTGCCTCCAAAAATAAAATAGAATATATATGTCAAATAGCTAATAAGCATCAGAATCAGGACTTGAATCTATAAATCTGAATCCCAAGGCCAAAGCCAAATACACTATGTGGGAGACCTCTAGTCCCTAGCCTGCTTCCATTCCTAGAACCTACACTGGCTCCCTATGCCAACTCTAACCTCCTTATACTGGCTTTCTGAGCCTTCTACAAATCAGCCCCACTCCATCTCTCTAACCTCCCCTGTCCTTTCTCTTCAATCTTCCCCTAAGCAAAAAGAATCCAAGAATTCTAGAATAATAGAGCCATAAAGGAAAGAATTATGGAGTTAGAGGGAATCTCAAAAGCTATTCTAGATTAACCAGTGCCTATGCCAGTGTCTTCCTGCCCTCCCCATCTTAGAGATCCCTCATTTTACTGATGAGAAAACTGAGCTCTAGACTGATTGGCAATGTCATATGTGGGCCTTTGGCTCATGGTTGAAGCACCCCAGGAACTGAAGTAGGAAGAAGAAGAAAGGAAAAGAGGAGGGGGCCAAGTTTTTAAAGCACTCCTGCATCCTTTAATTCATTTCATTCCCATGCCAATTACAATTCAGTCAGTTGGAGAATCCAGGATCACATAACAAGTCAATATTTGTTGTTGTTCACTCATTTTTTCAGTCATATCCAATTCTTCATGACCCTGTTTGGGGTTTTCTCTGCAAAGATACTAGAATGGTTTACCATTTCCTTCTCCAGCTCATTAAACAGATGAGGAAACTAAGGCAAACCGTCAACCAGAACCCAGGTCTCCTGATCTCCATGTTCTTTCCAGGCCACCATGCATCTTCTGATGTGATTTAGGGGTGTAGGGATCCCAAAATTATTGAGGTACAGGGCAGAGTCATCATAAAAGAATCAAGGACTCAAGTAGTCTTCCAGTCAACTGGCAACAGTTTATTATAATGCTAATAAAGAGGGTAGAGCTCCTTAAGGAACTTGCAACCTCATAGGGGTGATACTAAAGCTTATACAGGAAAACTTACTGCATTGTGTGCCAACTATGCTGATTAGCTGGTGTGAGGTAGAAAGGAACATACAGTTTCTGTACCTTGAGGCAGGTGTCATTCACTACTGGAAACCCAGGGGGTGAGGGAGCCTTCTAAGGGGTATGTTTTTGGTCTGCTACATCTGTAAACAAGATAGCTTTGGAAATTGATGTCTATGGCTTAATCTCTGCATTGTATACGGTCACTGTGGGAAGCAGTACATGACAGTTCTGCTGGTATGAAATGCTCCTGTTCATACAAGGGAAATTCTACAGAGGTCAGCTTGTTCTTGTAACAGGGAGAGAGTTTGCCTCACTGGGGCCCACTCATGAGTTATTGACAGAGATAAGGTCTTTGGGCTGGGGAGAGATATGATCTTAAGGCTGGGATCCAAGCACAAGCACCCTATCACTTCCACTGTTATTCCATCCTTACAATCATAAATTTAAAACAGGGAGAGACCTTAGGAGTCATCTGGTCTAATTCTCTTGTATTATAGATGAGGATCACAGAGGTAAAGGGACATGCCCAAGGACACCCAGCTCATAAATAACAGAGGCGAGATTTGTTCCCAGGTCCTCCAGCTCCAGGTACAGTGCTCTATATTCTACTATTCTGCCTTCTTCTTCCATCTATAAGTCCTCTTTCCCCTCTACTTCTCAGCTGCTTACATTCTGATCTCCCCCCAAGATCCAGTTTAATAGGACAAGCCAGGCTGGGGGGGGGGGAAACAAACAAGGGATAAAGAAGTAGTTCGTCATCCAGCTCCCAGCACTGGCAGGACTAGCACCAAGGATGGGCAGCAAGAGGAGGGCAATCTGAGGATCCCTGAGAACGGCGTGACGTCGTCGGGCAAGAGGCTACAGGGGACTGCAGAGGCAGAACCAAAACTGAAGCTGGCAACCAGGGCTTTGCCCCAGGGCAGATAATTTAGAGGATGCTGAGAATACCTTCCTGAAGATGATTCTTCCACTGCCCAGTTCTCCCCCAGCAACGGCAATTAGCTTCTTACTCACTGCCTTTCAATAGCATACATAGAAAAATTTATGCCGACAATGAGATTTTTCCTCTCAAACCCCTTCCTAAGTCTCCTTTCTTCCTTTCGAAGCCACACCCTAAATGAGGTTCCACCCTCTACACACACACACACACACACACACACACACACACACACACACACACACACACACACATACTTCTAGCCCCAGTGAAACATTGCTACATATAGCCCTACCCCAGCATCAAACCAACAGAGAGCTGAAATGAATCATCTCACATGACAAAAAAAAAAAGGTCAAAAAAGACTCTAAACCAACCGTAACCTATCAGGACTTCCCTATTTCCATTAGTTTTGCAACTCACAGGTGTCTATGGGCAACATTTGCTGAGGAGGGCTTTCATTCCTCTCAACAGAGAAGGAGTGAAACTGATTCCTCCCAGACCACATCTATCTCCTTAAACAGGATCAGCTAAGGATGGAACATTCTCATGGTCATTCCAGTCTCTCTATTCACCACCTGCTTATTTTTTTTCTCCTGTTGGGAGCTGGAGTTTCCCTAAGGCACTCCTACTCAATCAGCAACATCTAGTTACACCAATTAGTTTGCTTTAGTCCAGAGGCAAAACTGATCCTCAGTTCAGTTCCACATGGCTTCCTTTTTTCTGATCTTTAGGGAACTTTAAAAGGTAGGTTATTAATAAAATCATCAAAGCTTGTCAAGCTTTCAGATCAGACTCAGCCTATTTACTAGGATAGGGTTAGTCCCTGACCTATTTAAATTCTGTGTATTCAAGCCAGCCAATGCCATCTCTTCATTAGCACCTTCAGTGTGTTATTAAAAATAGTACTCAGTACCAATTAAGATTGATTTATGCTAATCTTGAGAAAAGCCAGGTTAAAATACTATCTAAAACAGCAAATGAATTGGTTAAAAGGAACAGAGAATGCAGGATTTAAACATTCATTCTTTTGTATGGAAAGGGAAGATGGAAGAATAAGGAGAAAAGAGTTTTTCCTTTTAAAAAAATGAATGTTAAAAATTGTCTTTACATGTAATTGAGGGAAAAAATGCTATTTTAAATTAATTAATTAATTTTTAGTTTTCAGCAATCACTTCCATAAGATTTTGAATTTTAAATGTTCTCCTCCTCCCTCCTCACCTCCCTCCCCAAGACAGTATATAATCTGATATAGGCTTTACATATACATTCCTATTAAACATATTTTCACATTAGTCATGTTGTAAAGAAGAATTAGAACCAATGCGGAACCACAAGAAAGAAGAAACAAAAAAAAAACCCAGAAGAAAAAAAAAGAGTAAATAGTATGCTTCAATCTGCATTCAAACTCCATAGTTCTTTCTTTGGATGTGGATAGAGCATTTCCCATCATGAGACTTTTGGAGATGTCTTAGATCCTTGAATTACTGAGAAGAGCTAAGTCTATCAAAGTTAGTCATTGGACAAGGTGGCTGTTAACTGTGTACAACGTTCTCCTGGTTCTGCTCACTTCACTCAGCATCAGTCCATACAAGGCTTTCCAGGTTTTTCTTAAGTCAGCCTGCTCATCATTTCTTATAGCACAATAATATTCCATCACATTCATATACCACAACTTGCTCAGCCATTCCCCAATTAATGGACATCCTCTCAATTTCCAATTCTTTGCCACCACAAAAAGAGCTGCTATGAATATTTTTGTACTTGTGGGTCCTTTTCTCGTTTTTATGATCTCTTTGGGATACAGCCCTAGAAGTGCTCTTGCTGGGTCAAAGGGAAAAATATTATTTTTAAAAAGAGAAAGATGAAGACAGCAGAGTAAAAGAGTGACTTGCTTGAGCTCTCCCCCAAACCCCTCCAAATACCTGTAAAAATGGCTCTAAACACATTCTAGAGCAGCAGAACCCACAAAAAGACAGAGCAAAACAAATTTCCAGCCCAAAACAACCTGGATAGTTGATTAGAAAAGTCTATCATGCAGGGGCTGGAGAGGAACACGGTTCAGCGTGGGCACACAATCAAAGACCAGGCCTCACCAAACCTAGAGCAGGCCTTAGAGGATTGAATCACAGGCAGCAGTGGAGGTTTCCAGACTTCTCAACCCACAAACACCAAAGACAACTTAGAAAATCAGTAGGAAAAGTCTGTGACCACAGCGAGAGAGAAGCTTAGTCCCAGCCTCAGTCCCAGTGCAGCCCTGAGGCAGCAGCTGCTTCCAGAGCTTCTGGCCCACTGACTGAGGGGGAATAGAGCAGCTGATCAGAAGGAGATTGCAGGGATCTCTTTGCTGGTGCTGAGGCAGGATTCTCTTGCTTTGCTTGTGCTTGGATCTGGGTCACAGTTCTGGGTGGCAGTCCTGGGGAGAGGAGGAGCACTGGTGTGGTGGACCTTATAGTGGCAGTAAAGAGTG